TTAGTGAATGAAAGTTTGGGGCTTTTTCTAACACAATTGTTTGAATTATATTTTATATAATATTTATAGGACTCACAAAAAATACTATTTTCACTTTCATGAATGTCTTATTATTGTATTTCATCACGTAAAGAATGCACAAACTGCATGCTTTGAAAGCTTTGAAGCTTTCAAAGAGATTGACATTTATTATTGACCCTGTGCTATTGGATGTGTCTACTTTATTTTTTTATGTCTTTCTTTTTCCATCTAAAGCAGTGAAGGAAGCATGGTACAATGTAACTAGAGAAACTGCATTTCCTGCAAAAATGCAGTGTGAATGAATAACTTGCTGAAAAACAGCTGAAATTAGCTAAACATGCTGAAATGGAAAAAACAAGCTTAAGTTAGCAGAAGAAAACACATTTACTGAATTTAGTTTAAATAAGCAGGAATAAGCACAACATTTAGTAAAATAGCTGAAATTAGCAAAAATAGCTGAAAAGGCAGACAGAAGCTTAAATTACCAGAAGGAAGTGGAAGGAGCACAATTGTGCCCAGTTAGGCTGAAAGAAGCAGAAATCAGCACCAAAAAGTGGAAACTATCTGAAAAAAGCAGAAATTTGCCAAATACAGCTTGATGAAAGATAAATAAGCTGAAAGAAGCTAAAATTACCAGAAACAAGTGGAGAGAGCAGGCAGCACGGTGGCACAACTGGTAGAGTTGCTGCCTCTCAGCGAGCAGGTCCTTGGTTCAAACCCCGGTCCAAGGGCCTTTCTGGGTGGAGTTTGCATGTTCTCTCCGTGCATGCGTGGGTTTTCTCCAGGTACTCTGGTTTCCTCCCACAGTCCAAAAACATGCATGTTAGGCTGATTGGTAACTCTAAATTGTCCCTAGGTGTGAGTGAGAGAGTGAATGGTTGTTTGTCTCGTTTGTCTCTATGTGGCCCTGTGATGGACTTGCGACCCGTCCAGGGTGTACCCCGCCCCTCGCACAGTGATTGCTGGACATGGGCACCAGCGACCCCTGTGACCCAAAATGGAATAAGCGGATAAAGATAATGGATGGATGGAAGTGGAGAGAGCACATTTTTTGCTGAATTTAGCTGAAAAAAGTTTAAATGAGTGCTAAAAAATGTGGAATTAGCTGAAAAAGCTCAAATTTGCATAACACAGCTGCATAGTAGCTGAAATAGCAAAAAAAACCCTGAAATTTGCAGAAATAAGCTGAAAGGAGCTGAATGTATATGATTTGCTGAAATAGCTTGAAAGCTGCGCGATGAGAATCGCGCAGAAAAACATATGAAGTAAAATGGATCACAATAGTGTGAATGCTTCGTAAGCGTTCACACAACAAATCACAGCAACACACATTCAACCATCACAAATGACATGTCGAGTTCCCTCTAGTCTGGATGGTATGCCACTGTATCGACAATTTCATCTTCCTACCTATGTGACACAACCCTTCAATCCATATATTAATTTTCTTGAATATTGTTTTCTAATCATCAGCCGTTTCTCACAATGATAGTAGCGGGAGACGAGATTGATCATAGCACACGACATCTTCCATGTGCCACAAATTGGCACATTGGTGAATTTCTGTTAGCGCGATAGCTATCATTAGCAGCTAAGACATTTACACACTGACAGTGCAGTAAAGAGCTCAGAATGATTGCTGCAAATTATTAGTATCTCAAGCAGACAGCTGGAGATGCAAATAATTACTGGCTGCAACCCTTTAGTCATGTCATGTTGCTATCACAAACCGGCTTCTACCTGCCAGGAGAGGTAAAAATACGCTGTACGGTGTGCGCCTTGCAATTAAATGCCACACTGCTGAAATTAATAGTCATTTTAGTCTTTTTTATTTGAATCACTCCAGCTAACTTAAGCCGTGCAAATCCTGTCTACAAGAGAGAACATATGTGATGAGATAAAACCAGTGACTTTACGCACCTTTTTGATTATGGTAAAGTGCATGCTTCTTTTTTTAACAGTGAGCCATGACGGAAAAGGAATACTGGTAGATAAGAAAAAACTCATTAATAAAATGGTCAAGATTGCGGGGCATGTCATTTTAAGACTCATCTCAAGCATTTATTCATAAAGTGTGAACTTTAAACTTTCCATACAAAAAAAATGCAACAACAAACCACGGCTTGACAGGATTAGTAGACGCAGTGTGGCAGGGGACCAGGAGATGGAGCTGTGGTGCTGGACAACTGCTCACACACACAAACACACACACAGTGTACCAGAAACACACAGCAGCCTGACCGGTGCAGCTATATATTCACATCCTCTGAGATCCTTTTACTTCCCACTCAGAAAGTATGCTTGTGCCAAATCTGAGTTCAGGCTCATTAGTGGCTGTAGATGGTTTCAGGTGGGTTGAAAGCTGAAGGTCCTGCCAAGGCACAGAGACGCCTAAAGAGCCGTTCTCTGATATCCCGAGGTAACAAACAGACAAGCATCAGAAAGGGTTTCAAATCTACCTCAAACGAAACAGCTAAATTGAGTCATAAGCTACTTAAAAACATGGACTTGTTTTCTTGCCGTGATAGTCGCACACATTAATACGGACTTTTCTGGCTCGAGCTCACTTTTTGGTGTTGATTTGTGCTTTTTATCCATTTATCACATATTGATGTGATGAATGTTTATGTTGTACAGAAAAACGAAACAAGCTTGCGCAGTATGTCTATAACTGAAGGTGAACATGAACATGCTTGAAGTCTTTCTACACCAACAACCACAAGATGACTCAAAAACAGCCGTTTCCAGACCCTGACGCTTCAATCTTATTCTCTGCTTGTTTTCTGAGCCTCCTCTGTGTCACTGCATGTCCCACGTTGAGGGGAGTTTTAAGACAGTCAAAAGATGCATGCTGTGTTAATACAGAATAAAGAAAAACAAGTGGGGAAAAAGCAAAGTTTTCATTTGCTTTTGATTTAAAAATTTATTCTCGGTGGCAAAACATTCCGTGTCTCAACCACGGGGATCAAATACACTATCTTTGTAAACAATCACTGCTGGCTGATTTCATTTGTACTCTACTGATAGTTGTTTTCTATTTTTCCTGCAGCCTCAAATACTACAGCCTTTCAACCCCTACCTCAGCGAGCACCCCCACCAGGAAAGACTAATAAAAACTCCCCCCACAGAGGGCCACAGTGACTACATCAGAGAAAGCAACTTGTTCAGCAGATGACCGTCCTCTTGAAGCTCCCAAGGTAGAGGTGTAGCCAGATTTGACAAGCTGAGTCATCTTCTCAGGACCAGTCGGCGCTGCCTCGGTTCCTGCGCTCCACAGGGGATAACTGGCAGAGACGGTCCGGCGTCAGCAACTCAGTCTGCAGCACAGCACGGGTGGAGAGCCCCCGCTGCGATGCTGCTGAAATCATTCGCTTCAGGATCTGCTGGGTTGACTTGCCCTGGCATTGTGCAGTTTTCTCGCCTTCACAAGTGCATGCCTGTCCCTGTCTTCAAACCAGGGGGCACTGGTGGATTAGCATTTTTTAAAGTCAGGGGGCTCCTTGGGGCCTTATGCTAACCTGACCAAGCAGCTGTTGCTTCCATCTAAAGGCCTCCCCTGCTTTAACTCGAAACCCCAGATCCAAGCTCCTTAACTGTTAGCCCAACTTTTTGGACGACACTCGGAGATCTTGTCAAAGTACCCAGAATCCATGAGTCGTTCACGCCTCCCTAAACCAAAGATTCCTGAAGGAGATTGAATCCATCCACCAAGCTTAAAACTGGTATCACACTGTTGTTGGCATCCATCCCCTTCTTCGTCTAGCTGCAGTAACGGTGGGATTGTTAGTGTTAAAGAACCCTGAGCTCATTAACTATTTTGTACCATTTAGTGTTTGTCAGTGACATCAGTTTTGACTGCTGTACAGTATTGTTTCTTAATTGGCTGCCAACACATAACACATTTAGCAATGGAACAAAATGTAGCAGCGATATCCTCTCAACAGTTCCAAGTGCTATAAGACAGTTTTCATGAGGTGTTATAAAGGAAAAGTCCAGTTCACTTGTTTTGTATATGTACACAAATGCTGCGTAAGAAAAAAAAAGTGTTACTTTTTGCTGTGAAGTCAGCTTTTTGTTTTTCTTTGCAATATCCCGCAGGCTAATGTCACGTTTTAAATTCTAAGATTTCTTGTCCTTAGACAGCTGTGCCCTTTGACACACACGTGCATTTGGTTTTGAGGTGTCGTGATTGTGACCTCTGCTGTGCTTTAGAAGGCCCGAGGGGAAATGGAAGCAAAAACAAGAAGTGGAGCAAAAATAATAATAATAATAATAATAAGGAGAAGAAAAGAGAAAGTGAAAAGGCAGCAGGAGACTGAAAAGCTAATTCGTCAGAGCTCCGTGAAGCTTGTCACTTCCGGAAAGAAAACGTGCTTGTGTAATTGTGTGTGTGTGAAAAAAAGGCTTTGAGGGGAAAAGTAAAACAGCTTCCACTGTAGTTGCACACATCCTTCTTGTTCGGGTCGCTACATTGTGCTTAAATTTCTGGTGAACTTACAAACCCTGCACATATTAGCAAAAGGCATCTGTTGAAGTGCTCCTGTTGTAGAGCTATAAACTTATAGAGAATAATACTTTCTGGTGGTAAAAATGTAATCGAGAAAACTACAGGTGAGAAATTTGCAACAAAGCAGCATAATAAGGCACATTGTACTGGGCTTACAGCAACTATAAACATTCATATACAGGTACTCGTGAAAACACTCTAAAGAAGCACTGTATGTCTAATTTTTTACGATTTGCTTTATACATTTGTAGATGGAAGCAGTGAAGAGTAAAAGGAAGTACGATGAGAGAGGAGCCAACATATGAGAAAGCTTTTTTAATATCCGAGTCATAAAATCCGCACTACAGGGCAAAAACAGCACAAAACCTGTTGATAATGCAACAGCAGGTTCCAGTGTGTCTAGAAGCTCACAAAGTATGAACTAAAATAATTTAACCGTTCTTTTTGTTCCAAAGATCCCATTTGAGACTTTAAGAACATCCCATTTGATATCTTAATAAAATTGTGCAACATATGAGGATAGGTTTGTCAATTTTCTTGTAGAAATGCACAAAATTATGGGTTCCCAACATGTAACTGAATACACAGTTACAGTTTTTATTTTATTTTTTTAAAGTCCAAATAATCAAATATATATATTTTTTCCATTCAACCTTTTTTTATACACGTTAATCCCATTGAGCCTCGGGGACTCATTTACAAGAGAGACCTGAATTTTGAACAAATAGTGATGACAAGAGTGGACAACAACAATAGACGATCATAAAAGATGCATACAAATTATTATTTTTTTTAAACAAGTTAAAATAAAATGTCAAAAGGAAAAGTTGTGAAAAAAAAAATCTAAATTTCAGTTGTATTTACTGTAAAATATTAATATTTTGTGATGTTTCTTCCACTTTGTCACATAAACACCAGTACCTGGTGTACAAAAATGGCTAGAAAGTGTTTTTGTACGTATTTATAATCCTATTTTAGTTTGTCATTTTTTAAAGAAACTATAACAAAATGGCTTATCTTGCTCTTGTAGATATTTATTAACTTAAAATACATTTTTTTTTCAATTTGCAAATTGCAGCTATAGAATAGTAGGTGGTGTCTGATAAGGACATGGAGATTGCCAATAAGAGCAAACTAACATTTTTGCTTAATTACCTTGTTCCTTGCTTCTGTTTTTATAGGAAGTATGTAAATATGTATAAGCAAACACCATTATCTTATGATAAATTTAAAGCTAGACACACTAAAAGACTTTTATTTGAGGCACTGATAGAATAATTGGTAAGAATGTCTGTAGAACTAAACTGAACCAATGAATATTTATTATAAAATCTGGGACCTCATCTCCAATCGTCCACACACAAAAGCAGCCAACGTGGATTCATTAAACACATGAAGCTGTCGTCTGCGTAAAAGTGCAAGTTAGTGTGTGAGCGCCACCTCCTCCTTTCTTGCATGTCTGTTTGAGTAGATCAGAAGTATTATCTGTATTTTCAGGGAACCTTTGGAGTTTTTGTGGCGCCTCCATGAGAGTTTTAGAGAGCTGTGTTTATCTCTTCTTTACGGGGTCCTTTTGCAGTCAAATGCTCCCGAAATGTCCCCGAATGGAGAGCAGCAGTGTGTTAAAAAGGCCTTCTGACAGCAACTCTGCTCTCTTTGCTGTCACGCCGCGTGACCACTTGGTGTACGCCTCTGGCAGTGTCCGGTCTACTGCGTCCAATAATTCACCCTACACAAGACGAAGTGAGACAGACACACACACACACACACTCAAATCCAGATAGGATGTATTGGTTAGCAAGCTGTAGAGACGCACATGTAACACGAACTTTGCCAAAACTCAAAAAGACACGAAACTCAAAAGAAACTTGCACTTCATTTCACGTAACTGTCACGAGTATGCATTTAGAGTTGTTGCAAAAAGTTGCGTAGACGTATGTTTGCGTTGTTTTCTCGGCTCTCACAAAGCAAGGCTCTCTTAGGACACACAAATCCATCTGTTTGCTGCAGATGGACAAAAAAAAAAAAAAAAAAGATGTGCATCTCTAGATTACCCTGGAAGTGGGTGTGCGTTTGAGAGCAAGAATCCGTACGGCTGATAAAGCATGTTTACCTGTTGGATGGCTCAACATTGTACCAAACCAGCCAAGCAGTCAGCACTGCTCTCTGAAGCCAAGAGAAACACATTTCTTTTAATGAAAGCGGAGACAGGAAGATGCAGACGGAGAATGAGACGGATGCACAGCGTGAAACAACAAAATGGAGCGGGAGGATAGAGCAGAAGACAAGTAATGAAATAATGAAAGAGGTAACGATCAAGATAAGCTGCTGTTTGTCTGTTGTGAAGGTGAGCGAAAGAGCGTTCCAGTAAATAGAACGCAAAGTTTGGTCGTGTGGTCCAGGAAGTAGCCGGATCCCCTTCAGCTGGGTCACTTCGCAGCTCAGCAATGCCAAAAAAGGCAATCAGTGTTGCCCATTGTATTTGTGTGCGCGCCTCCAGACACCTCTGGCTGCCAATGTTTGCCTTGTTGAAGAACGAGTCTGTGTAACAGAGAGATGTGCAAAGCCAGGCCAAAGGCAAACCCATGCCAGAGGAACCAGGCCAGTGCCGTTCTGTTTTCCCCATCTCTAAAGTCAGCAGCCAGGCCAATCAGTCTTGCTATGTCATAACAAAACTAAAATTGGTGGAAAACGCAACTTTACAATTGATTCATTCTATTGCAGTAAAAGCTGTTGCCTAAATTACCGTTAAATAATACCCCTGCTGAGGAAAAGTTTTGCAGTTAGCATCCTTGATGGCACAGGAATGCACGAACTTTGGCAATTTATAAAGATACTATTTTGTACAACCATTTGTAAACTGGGAAACCACTAATATAGAGTGGTGCAAAAGCAGGAAAAAAAATGAAGGAACTTGTGGAATATGAACAATTTCACATGGTTGACTTTACTATAAAGCCATAAAAGCTAGAATTAGTAATAATGGATCAAATAACCGTGGCAATGTAAGTTTTCAGCCTACTGTTTTAGTTTTACCGTCCAGCGTTTTGGATCATTCATGAGTCTCATATCACTTCTGCTATGATCTTAAGTTTGCAGTTTAAACTATTTATAATGTCAGAATCTACACAATATATAATGTAAGATGGCATTTTTAAAGAAAACACAAAACTTCAAACTGAAAATGTGCCTAATTTTTGGACTTGTATGGTTTTTCATGGCTTTTGGCTCCATGTATTTGCAGCAATAGATGTGGCAGGGATGTACTTTTATTGCAGTTTTGAATTCATGACACAAGCGTTCTTCTTGCCATATTCCACATAGCCCAACTGCCAACTATAAGTCTGCAGTGTTAGCAGATAAACCATCATAGTGTAGCTTTTCATATTTATTTCCATAATATGCAAAGGCCGCTGGACATAATCTGGTATATCAGCTGCTATAAGCATAAACTGTGAGGCAAAAAAAATGAGGGGATATTACACTTTATTGTTGGCAGCCTTTTATGCAAATATAAACAGGCAAATAAAGCTTTAAATAATTCTAAGCTGAAGCACTTTAAATGACAATACTCATTCATGCTGAATGAACAATAATCTGTATTTAGAAGTCATTCAGAATTCATTTGACTTTACAGGAACTGTTTTTATTTTAGTCATT